CGGCTGGGAGCCCGGCCGGGCTGCGTGGGGGCGGGATCGGCTGGCTGAGGACTCTACAAGGATAGGGTGCTCCCCCCTTCGAGGTGCAACCGATGCCGTTAGCTCCTCCCCAGTGAGAGCTGGGGGAGGGCAGCCCCTGCCCGCAGGTGCCCCCTGGTGACAGGTGGTGGCCTGGCTAGTGGCAATGCCATGGGGCACCTCGCCTCCAGAGGGGGCTAAACACCTCTCCTTTCAGAGGCCGAAGCAGACTCCCCGAGGGTGCAGCACGGCAGTAGGCCGGTTTCTGTCTGCCACGAGCGGTTGAAAATCTCAGTGCAGGGGGGGATTGTTTTTTCCGAAGCTTGGCAGAAGATTGGCTACAAGGCTGTAAAATCAGGATTTTTAAAATGTTTTGATTCAGAATCAATCCTTTTAACAGATTGGTGTGGTGACTAATAAAGCCTTCTTTTCTAATGGGGCAGGCGTGAGACCCACTGTGTCTTTCTAGCAATATGGGGGGCAAATCCCCTTCTTTTTAGGGGGGTGTATCCCCGCCGAGGGAATCTCCGCTAAGAGCAGTCCCTCAGCGTTACTACCATCGTGGTTATGTGGGCCCTGCACGAAGGGGGAGTCTAGGCTGGTGGTGAAGGAAGAGACGCGGCGCTGAGTTTAAGTGACTTGCCCAAGATCATGTGGCAGTTCAGTGGCAGAGTTGGGAGTAGAACCCAACTCTCCTGCCTCCCTGTCTAGTGCATTGCCCCCTGGGGCATGGTGAGAGAACCCTTGTGACATGCTCGCCCGAGCCTAAGGGAGTTGTGAAAATGCAGTTTCAGGTCAGATTGTGAAAGCTCTTCCATCAGCCTGGCCCACTTCCTCAGTGCAGCGTCCTGGGAGCAGGGCTGGGCTGCTGGTGCGTCTTGTAAAGTTCCTTTTCTTGCCTCTTGCAGCCAAGCTTTAAGTGCTGTCCTTGTGGAGGAGCCTTTGCGCCACCCCTGCAGCCGTGTTCCCTGTAAGCTGGGTGCTCGCATGGCCTCCCAGGAGAGATTCAAATGCCACCCAGCTGTTGAGCGGAGTGCCCAAAGCTGGCAGGATGTGCTTCTAGGGAGGGTGCACATCCACACGGGCCATGCATAGAACAAAATGTATTCTGCACATGGAGGGGAAAAAGGGGAGGGAGCATTGCCTGAGAGACTGGGGAGACACACACACACCTAGAGTGCCCCCGGCTGGTCTTTCCACTGCTTGGCTGGTTGCAGCTTGCCTCTTTCTCCCCCTCCCCCAATTCACTTTGAACCTTTGTGGCCACCTGGGGAGCCAGCTGCCATGGGCTGGCCCTGGGGAGAAACCGGCAGGCAGGCTGCAATGGCCTCTGTCTCCCTGGGTCGGCCTCGGGGAGTAGCCACCAGTTGCCCCCATGCCCTGCCCTGAGCCCCCTCACTTCTTCCACCCCCCTTCCCTGACTCCTGCATCCTCACTCCCTGTCTTGGTGCCTACATCTCCCACCCTTTGCATTTCTCCTTCAGTAGTACCACCCTACTGGGGATGGAGGAGCGTGCCTCTCCTATATGGTAGGCAGGGGACATAAGGAGGAGAAAGGAAATAAGTGGCTGGGGGGAGTTGCTAGGATGGGGAGAGGAGTTTAGGACATTCCGTCTGTCAGATGGACTGTGGCAGCCGGGAGAGGAGAGGAGAGGAGAGGAGCTACTCTGATTACAGCAGCTAGTTAGACATTCAGGACTCTCTCCCAGCCCCCAGCTCTGGGGCAAGAGGAGCAGGCTGCATGGGATAGATGGGGGAAAGGGGATAGGTGGGTGCTGGCATTGGTGTGATGGGGGTGGGGACTTTGTTTGTAGTATGTCCTCTGACTCCCAGCTGGGTTGCAGCTGCTGGTGCCTGCAAC